ATCTCTATTCCTCTGGTTTTGATTGAAGTCTATAAGTTTGCCTACTCTTTATTTGCCGAAGGAAAAAAAATCATGAAATTTTCTCGCATATCGAACGAGACATATTCATGGTTATGGGGGACGAGCATAGAATTCCGCCGGGAAATTGAATTCACTTTTTGTTTGTTTGGCAGTCTCAGTTTGGTGTGTTTGTCATGACAGAAAAAATGGACAGCAAAAAAAATGACTCGGATTACTCCATAACCTATTTAGCATATTTTTAATGAGAACAACCCATTCGTTGTAAATAACGATTTTTCAACTGAAAAGAGTGCTTTGATAATTGTTTTTTTTATTAATAAAATTGTAAATTTTGAACTTAATCAAATGTTACCAATTCAAACTACACCAAAGTGTTTTTGTCGTCAAAAGTGCTTAAGTGGGAGAAATAAAAAAAGATACCACAATGCATAAAAAACCAAAACAAAAACGACAAAAATAAGCCGACAATGAATGAGAAAAAAAATGTACAAAGAGCGCCCATGTTGAAATCACATCGTTTATGATTCATTAGTATGCCAAATCGTTGTTTGGGCTTACTTATGTGAAGCAAATTAATTTGCCGTACTGCATGTTACTAGTTTGTGGATTGCTTTTTTTTGTTTTTTTTTTGTTCTGTCGTTCGTTCCAAACCATGGCGCTATTTTTTCGGTATGAGACCGCCATTTTTCCCCCAGAACCATTAATAACTAAATTGGAACAAATTTATGCAAAACTTTTCATTTTCGACGATGGTTTATGCGGAATAATGGAGCATATTCAGAAACTTTAAGTTAATAGTACTGAAATGGGATGCATTTTGACAGCGTATGTTGTATTTGCATTGAACTTCGTGATTCTACATGAAAAAACCAAGGATTTCTTAAGCAATGATGTTGTGCCCCCCCCCCCCCCCCCCTTTCTCTCTCTCTCTCTCTCTCTCTCTCACTCTATCTCTCTCTCCATACTTTTCACCGTTGACTCTTCTTCGTCTACACACGTTGATTCTGAAAAATGCAAAATGCAAAGTCGTCAGTTCTTTCATCGTTGGGATGAATAAAATCTGATTCGGTTTACGGATGCTAATATGAAATACACTTTCATTAAAGAGTTCCGTCGACGAATATTCCGTCACCCAGCACAATTTACTCGAATCATTTATGACTTGAACAGAGGCCACAAACAATTATGAAACCAACCTCGTTTTTAAATTAATTGAATTTTATCTCTCCCGAATGGAAAATATGGACTGAAATAAATGGAGCGATTACATTAAGCGAAATGCGTTTGAGAGGTTTTTCAATTCACTTGGAACATTGGTGTAAAGAAGCAGTAATGGATATTGTTTTTCAGCGTGGCACATAAATTGAAATCTATGGAATCGGTTGCGCCAAATTGGCATTAACCGCTGCGGCTTTATTGGGAGCAGGGAGCGCAATGAAAAGTGCAAGTGTATAAATGTATCTCTCGGACTCGTTCTCTCACTCTCTGTCTCTCGTTGTTCCTTTCTATCTTCCTCACGCGTTCAGTGCCGATGCCAGGACTTTGGCTTAAAGAAAAGTTGTGTGATGGTCGTGCAACTGGCGTTGCATATAAGAATAAACTACTTGCTAGATTCACAGTAAATAAAATGCAAGTTTTACACTGAGATAGATTCTTTTTTCTCACTATGGTCTCTTGTGCGCGCTTAAAATTACGAAGCAAACAGACGAAGAAAAAAAAGAAGAAAATAATAACGACAATGAGAACATGGTCCGAAGGGTTGATCCTGTTTATTGACTGCCGAAGGGCATACAAATTGTAATAAAACTCGTACGCAAATAATCACTCCATTGTAGTCTTTATTCACGCCGCCGCACTTCATAAAACTTTTCAAATTATTTGATGTATACCGACAGATGGTATAGAATGCACACAAAATCAGAGTGAATGGAGATCCGGTGACTTTGTCGCTTGTGCAATAGTCCAATTGAAAGCAATAGTCTTCTTGCTCGTTAAAAGTATCCCGCTTTTATTTTGGTGGGATCGTCTGAGACGCGAGCGCAAGCTCGTGCTTCAAATCTGTCAAATAGTGTAACCGCAAGACACCATCAAAGGATCGTAGACGCCTAGTTGATGATGTACAGATTGTTCTTATTGCGGAAGAGAATAAGCGTTCAAGAAACAAAGTTCGCGCTTTGAGTGTTTGCATTTCATGCGAAGGTGCAAGATTGTGTCAGCAAACGGATATTATGCCTTTGTGTTATGCTACACGAAAGCCTCTTCCATGCCCGATTCTCTGTTTGTACTATTCGCTGCTTCTTTATTATTTTTCGAACTCTCTCCCTCTCCCTCTCTCTTTCTTTCTCCATCACTTTTTTTGTCTGTTATTGTTGTTGTGTCATACCCTTGTGTTCAGCAGTATGTTGGCTTTCCCCGTCCATCGTTCTCGTTCCAACCGTGGCGTCGTCGGCAGCTTTGCACCACTGGTGGCTCTATGGGCAAAAGTTTTACATGACATATTATTTACTGTCATGTCAAGTTATAAAAGGGAGCGCCTTAATTTTAATTTACTTTTCGCTCTATATTTCTGTTGTTAATTGCGCACCTCTAGCTGTCTATCATTAGGCAGCGTGTGCAACAAAAACAAGCACAGGAAAACTCACAACTGAAATACAAACACCTTTCGGTTGAATTCACGACTACTCATTCGATGAGCAATGGCAGAGAAAAAAGCGACGAAGAAAAGCATAGCAAACATCGCACATACAACAACATTAGGAGGCGCCAGCTTGTAGTGTGGATTCGGTTTTTTTATTCTCACTTTGGTTTCAATAAACGAAGCAATGTATTGCACGGTATAAAGCTAATTGTAGTTCAGGAATTTTGGTTAAATGGAAATGCATTCGAGCAATATTCAATGGCTATTCTATAAATGACACTCATTTACAATGGAACTTTTTGCCGCTTTGTATGTGTGATTGTTTGTGACTTTTTTTCGCATGGCTTAGAAACGCAACGCGAGAGGGACGGAGAGTTTAAGAATGAGTGGAAAAGCGAACGGAAGAGAGGGAAAGGGACAAAGGGACAAAGAGAGAAAGAGTCAGCAAGTGAAAAGCAAGAGGAAACTGAAAAAGACCAATTCGCATTTAACACAAACAAAGTGTACGCGCAACGGTGAGTAACGCCAGACACAAGACACGGAACGTAGAGAAATTGTTACAGATTTTAGTTTGGTGATTTCTTTGAAGCTTTTTCACGAAGAGAAAAAAAAACAACTTGAATCACATTGTAGCAACAGCGGCATGCTAGCTGTTTGTTTCAAATGCATTGTAGCAAGAGTTAGGTAAACACTGAACTATTCAAGCGGTTACCGTTACTTGTTTGGCATGGATTTGTTCATTCAGTCATTCGTTCGTTCGTTCGTTCGTTCGTTCGTTCGTTGGTTCATTTGTTTGCTCTTTCTTTCTTTTTTTCCGTTTTGCACTCAGTCAGCAACCAGCGACACTCTTTGATCGAGTAATTTTTCTATCGTTTATTTTAACGGTAACCATTTGTTATCGTGTTGTAGTATGGCTAACCCAAGCCATCGGCCGCAGCAACTCTGTCTGTATAAAATATATATACGTGTGGCTGCAATATATAAAACCAGCATCCGAACTAACCGACTCACTTAGATGCAACAGCGTCCACTGTATAGTTGTAGCTTATGCGTAAATGGCAATATTCTCTCAATACACGTGGGGAGAGAGAGTTAGCGGGAATGAGAAGAGAGTTTGAAAAAAAAAACGATCGAATGTTGTATATTTAAATTTCTTTCACCATTTGTGCACAATCGCGATTTACAAAAAGCCGAACATTATTTTTGTAGTATTTGTCGTAGCGGAATCAGCGGCAGCCGTCGATGTCGCCGCCGCCGCTGCCATCGGTCCCATAGTATTCAAATTCGACAATCAACGATGAAAAAAAGCAAACAAAAAACGTCAAATGCATAATACTAAAGGTGAAAAAGAGCAGCCGTAAATACAGTTGGCGGTACTTTTCTGGAGCTCTTTCTTCTATATATGCTGGAAAAAAGCATTACGAGAGGTGTACATTTCAGAACATTTTTGCTTTGGTTATTTCGTGTTTATTTTTCTCTCAATCGTTTGTTCGCTCGCTTGTGCTATCTATGAACTGTGAAAATGGCATTTGATATTGCAGCAGATATTGAATCTCCTGCCTCACACACTTAAGCCAAACCTATCGGTATCCCATTTTCAATTATAAATCGTTTGGATTTTCCATCAACTATTCAAGTTGAACAATGTATTTTTCAAACAGTTTCAATCTAGAAGCAACATCTATTCCCAAGTATACGTACAACGTGCACATTTGGCACTTTGAAAACAATACTCTCATGTAAATGGTCAGTAATTTATTTAGATGGACACAAAGCATAGATATTTCGCGGCGCACTTTGCTTTGATTACTATGTGTGTGCCCATTTAACACGCAACCAATAAGTAATATTGCGTGCTATTTATCATACACCTTTGTACTTGAGCACCGTACGTTCCTCGCTCATAAGTTCAAATGGTACTGAGTACCATTCAATTGACCAGAGTATATATGCATAGTGCATATATATTTGAGTTAAGTATTGGGAAACAGAATATTTAATTTCTGCCTCTTGGACAGACGAAGCTGAATATGATTCGAATGCTTAACTGATTCAATGTATCATTGTCGAAACGCCAGTGGGTAAAAATAACATGATCCTATTTTTGGCGGAGCGTAGCGATGTTCTCAGAATCGAACCAAAAATTGACCTATATTCCATTTCGCTGTAATGAGTCAATAGTGGCTTAATTGGCCTGTCTTAACCGGAGAACGGGCTTAAAAAAGTGGCTAGTGATACGTGTGTTGGCTTGATAAAGTCTAACAGGCGAAATGCAAATGGCACATACTTCAAGCAGATCGACCTATTCGCGAACTTTTCTAACAATTATTTTTGTTTATAGTTTCAGTATTTCAAAGCGTTGGCTTGGGAATCGTGAAATCGAAATCGAAATCGAAATCGATCTGATCGAATGAACAAATGAACGAACGAATGAGCGAAAAAATAAATGAATGGTTTGCATCGCACTGCAATCAACGGTAATATTCAATAATGATTTATGCATAATGAAAGTAGTCTGTACAATAAAATGTATCGAACTAGGCAAAATGATAAAAGCGGCATGCCATAGCTCGCAACAGCTGATTATCGGATGCATTTAAATTTATCGCCACAGATAGAGCCATTGGATGTTCAATCAAAAGCGAACTTAACAATAATGTCGTCGTCGTTGTTGTTGTTTTATTTTTCTTCTGCTCTCGTATCTTGCGCCGATGAGAAAAACGAAATTCTAATCAATCATAAATGTAGGCTATTTTGTACAGCATAGTTTGCGGACGATAACGTAATTCATTCCATTTTTCGCATTTCGAAATCATTTTGTTTATCTTTCGCAAACAAATCACAACACACAATATCCGAACTAGCAATATCCAATGCAATGAAAAAAGAAATGGATAAATAGGTGAAATGACACAATGTGTGTCCGTGATTGAAATACCCAAGCACGTAGGCAGTTCGACCGGTAGCCGGTTTGTTTAACGTTTATCCCTTGACCAAACTCAATGTTTATCATCGTGAATGGGCACAAGGCACATGTTGCCCATCCGAGGTTCGGGTGTCGCTTGCTACATTAAAATTCATTGACAAATAAAATACACATACTGAAAAAAATGAATGATCTGAAAAGTTTTTTTACCCCATTTAGATAGGGTTAACCACTCCATAATTGAGTAAACCACAAAATGTGGCCCAATTAAAAATTAATTACCACATCGTAATGCTATTGTATAATATCCATAAAAGTTTATTTCCATTGTATTTTATATGTAGTGTGGTACAATTACATTTTAATATATGTTGCTTAATATTTTCTCGTTACAGGATTTCTTCCTATTGGTTTATTTTCAAACGTCCATTGTGAATAAGAGGGAAAAAACCATTCGACTGAATGACCAACCAACCGACCGTTCGAACGCACCTCATCAATTTCACATTACATTCGAGTAAATTTTATCAATTAGTTTGATATTATCTTGAAAATTGCTGCAATTGATTGCAGTGACCAACGTACGATACCGAATACTAATTCTAATTGCGTTTCGTCCATGCAAAAATGGCCATACTGTTTGGTTCGCATTGTCGGCAGCCAAATCTGAAACATTTTCATTTGGCACAAACGTGGAACCAGCAGCTTAGGATAATATGGAGAAACAACTTCGTTTCATTCCATCCATATAGCATAGTATATAGCATTTGAAAATGCGAACAGCAAATATGAAACAAAGAATCATCTCTGGATGCCACAACGGAATCTATATACTCATAAGCTTTTTGAAGGTGCGATATGCACAATTAGTATTAAAAACATTTCAATTCGTAACGTTTTAAGTCTTAAGTTGAACGATTTTCAGTTTCAAGTTGGAACTAAATAGTGCAAAATATGTTTTACAATTATTAGAAAAAATCTCGTGTGCAAAAACAAAAGAAGATTTCCCATATGACCGTTACTCTGTCCCATATGGTTCTTTGGCAAAATGACAGAAGCCATTGGGTTCAAATAAATGAGTTTAAGGACTTATTATCGAATAGAACATAAGTTAGGTTGGTTCGATTTTAAAAATGTATGAACAAAAATAATAATACCAGGACACATCTTAATCGAAAGTGGGCCTCAATACAAAAAAAATTTTTGATTCACGATTTAAGATTTATTTAGCCAAAACTTCGAATGCAAATGACAAACGAACATTGATTGGTTAAATTTCAATCATTTTTCTACAAATAATTAGAATGATGATGGAAATTATTTGCACACGCGAATTATAAATTGTTTCGAAACGACTTTTTTTACAACTTGTATAAATTTAGAGCTTAAATTATTAAATTGATTGATATTCGTATGGTGGATTTCCAATAATATAAGGAACAATTCTGTTGATATTATGTGGAATTAAATAAGATATACTTCATATATTATATTCAAAGCCGATGTAGCTATAGATAGATATGCTTAAAACACACGAACATTTGAACTAGAACATTTAAACGCATAAATAAATAAAGTAAATGAAAATGCATGTTCAAAATTGCAGAATGAATGGTATAGATAATAGATGAACTTTCGAAGCGAGTCATCGAAATGTGCTTCAAAAATCCCTAATTATTGTTTGACATTAGAATATATAGGGGAAGATGGGGAAATTCGGAACACACATCGAAATAATTCAATAACATTCTAAAAAATTAACATTTTTCCAAATTCTAAAGTGGTACTAGACTTAGTAAATGTAAAAACCTAACTTTTGACACTTGTCAACAGGCGAAATTCGAATCGGTTGAAAAAATGTATCCTGTTGGCAAAAAACCCTTGATTTTACGATTTTGAAAAATGGTGGGGAAATTCGGAACACTTCATAAATGGATAGAAAACTGAAACAATTTTGATGCAAAACGTTTATTGAGTACTAGGAAAAGACAGGAGAATTAATTTTAATGAGGAAAAAGTTCAAAAATAGCGATTGTTGTTGTGAAATAGCTACCAATCATTTTGGTGCATTTCAAGTGGACAGCTCGATCGCATAAATTGCAATGAGTATTTTGTCAAAATTTTGCATGAAATATTATAAATATGCATAAAAAAGCGATATCAACTTGAAAAGTATTAAAAATCACTTGATGAATTTTTCGTATATAGTGCGTTCCGAAATTCCCCACTCACTAAGGTTTACAACATAATCGTGTTTTGGTCACTCAATGAATTTTCATGCAAAATTCCTTTTGTGAGTCGAAATATTAATGGTATACGATAATTATAAACATATTCGGCTGAGTTGATTTTTCGAAAAATGTTATGGAATCAATGCAGACAGGCATTCTCAATATTAAATTTTCATGACTTGATTTCATGTCGATGACGCACAGAGCTAACAGTACGTTCACAATCGTCGAGTGCTAATGGAAATATGAGGTTTTGTTTAAAGAAAACGATGACAGTTGTTCACATGTCTCAAACTATTCATTTGCGGCGAAATTTGGCGGTGTTCCGAATTTCCCCACGTTCCGAATTCCCTCACCTTCCCCTATATAAATGAACATTAAATAGCATTTACAGTGGCGACTCACGTGAGCACATGAGATACAATAATTGAGGTTAAAGTGATACGCCATCGATAATATGGGTTATTAGTTTTAACACACAACACGCATTTATATCTTCTGTTTCTATTCAACTAATTATTTGAAGGTGAACGAAAAGGAATCCAAATGATCCTGAATAAGTAAATGACAATTCCTTCATTGCTTCGCATTTAATTTTTAACTAGACCAAGATTGACAGATTGAAGGAAGGAAAATGCTTTCAAAATGGGGTTTACAAAAGGAATAAAAGTCGTAAGCTTGGCAAATTTGTGTCATTTGTTCGGTGGGGTCTTTGAAAAGTGTACGCAGATCATGTAGATTATTTAAAAAAAACCTGGAATGTATAATTGGAAGTGAAATATTTAAATCGTTTTATGACTATCGTTTGAGAGCCCGCCATCAGAACAAAATGAGTCCGTTCCCGATCAAATACATCCGGTTAATTCATATTAAGTGTTTGCAGTTCAGTTTTCCCGCAATTACATGATATTACTGGTCATAATCTGAATGTGACGAAAATAACTTGTGAAGCAATAGACTTATCGTTCACTTCATCTCGATGATACATATATTACCATGGAAAATTAGTGAACAATATCGTGCAAACACTCAAACTGGACACGATAATGCGAACGGATATGCAGCAATGAAGCTGCCAAATCATTCTGATTGCAAATGCATTCATGGACGTTGAAGAAGCTATAATTTCGTGAAAATGACGAAAAAATAATGGGGAATTCCATCTGAATAATTTATTTGGTCGTTTCCATCTGGGTATGGCAGCACAATAAAACTTTTATAACGAGGAGGTTTTCATGGGCAAATCTCTCGCAAAGAGAGAGAGAGAGAGAGAGAGAGAGAGAGAGAGAGAGAGAGAGAAAGAGATAGACGTTGAGCGAGTTTGTTGCTAATATCAAGTTAAATTTTACATATAGAATATTAATGACAAATGCATTACGCACACGCACCATATTCGCACACACAGCAACATTTTCATTCAACTGAACCAACTATCCGCACTCACTTTTACAATCGTTGTGTACTATTGTGTCACACCATTTGAAGCAAATAGAATCACTGTAATTTAAATGGAATTAATTTAATGAGGTGTGTTTTTCGTAATAGCACCCAAACACGAAACCTCTAGAAAATTCGTCAACAAAAACATGTGTAAATAAATATTATGGATACGAACAATTGTTCAAATCTCTACAGCAAATGCCCACCAGAAAAATTTGGCAAAATTAGCAACACAACGCCTGGTGGAAAAAAAAAATTACGAATACATGGCATGGAAAAAAGCGGATTTGTTTGCATTTCTCACGGTTATCCTTAAGCTATTCATGATTGATGTCAATATCCCAATATGTGATAATTAGAAAGGATATAAATTACTAACGTTTTATGGAAACAAAAGCATGTAGAACATCGGTTCGGTGGTTTTTGGCGTGCGTGTTGAATGTCATTGGTGCGTATATGGAAAACAACAGCTACTCAGAGACACAGCGATCCCGCATGGTGGCACAATTGAATTTATGATAAAAACAACGTTTGAGTATATTCTATTGCGCCTCAATGTTGGTTCGGTTATTTACAAAGAATCCTAGTTATTCACCTGTATAGCTCATAAACTTCGTCCGTCTTTATGACATTCAATGACATTCAAGACGAACAATACCGAAAAATCACCATAATGCATTTTGTTGCAGAAATAATTAAAACTATCAACTTAATTCACACAAACCGTCTTAACAAATCATACAAATATTTTTAAAAAGTTGTTGGCATGTTGATTGCGCTACAACGATACCATTAAAACCATAGATTTTACAATTTCTCTTTATTGTCGATGAGATTACAAATTTGTGTACTATTCGAAAGAACTACCGAGAATAATGTCACATTCATATCGCACAGTAAAAATGAAAATGATGATACATTTTCTGCAAAGGTGGTTTCTTCAAAGAATCATGTGCGAATTCCCATTTGCCAATGTTCAAACTTCAAAGGTTTGTCACTATTCAGTACTGAATCGCTTTCAATCGCCCCCTTGCTAACCAGATACTACGGATTTATTCTCACTAGTTTAATTTTCATACATTTAGGTAGGTAATGTTGATTTTGAATTTGGATATTTGATTGCCTTTAACCGCTGCATTTTCAATGAAATTTGGCCTTAATTTTCAAAAAGCATTTCTATCGCATCAAAATTATAACGCGTTGCTTTCTATTCATTAATTCATACAAATCTATGATATTTTATGAATATTGTGATGTTTATAGATTTCATATTTAATTTATAAGATGTTTAAGAACATAGAAATTTATCATATATAAGACGAACAAAATCATTTCAATTAGCCTATCTAAAATCGAATTGAATGTTATTGGTTTTTAAGCCGTAAGTTTCGCTTCATAAATTTTGACAAAAAGTATACACTGACGAAAGTCTGAGAAAAACTATTCCAACCATGCGGTGTAAATGTTGTCATTGTACATAATTCTTGTAAAATGTTCAAAATCAAAATCTTGGTTCAAACTTGGAAAATGTGAGAATACATTCAAAGTCTTAAATAGAATGGAACATTTTACACAATTCCGTGCCGTGATAACATTTACATCGCAGGGTTGAAATAATTCATCCATATCTTCTGTCAGAATAAATTCTACGGATAAAATATAGAAAAAAAATATGTTATAAATAAATGTGAACCTTCAACTCGACAACTTCAACAAATTATAGATGTTTACAAAAATAAATAAACAAAAGAGTGCATCGAGACTAAAATGTATTGTGTTTGGGGTTTGATTTATTTTTTTATAACAAAAAATTTTCAGCATAAATCGGTATTTTGTATTTTTTTTGCGTTTCATGACATATTTGATGATATGATTAATGAAAAAGCTATCTTAAGATATACATTTTTCGTTACAAATTGTTTTGAGCATCTAATAATGTTTTCCAAAAAAAATCTAAATCTATTTATCATTTTCATTCCTACCTTTTTCAATTGAAAAAAAAATCCAACTCGCTGATTAGAGGTTCCATCGAGGCAACCTATACTTTTGGCCGGCGCAAGATAGCGGTAGCGTCTAAATAAGATTTATTAGCAAATTTGCGGCATTTTTAAGAACTATCAATACTTGTTGTTGTTGTCATGAATTTCGCAACAACAAGAAGTATTGATAGTTCTTAAACTTGCCGCGGCTCTATTTAGGCGCCACCGCTACTCACTGTCACGTCGAATACACTGGTTCTTATGGCAGAGAAGCACAGGTTGCATCGAGGTAAGAATTGATTCAAATAAAATCTTACTCCGTTGTTAATGGATGAAAGAGCAAAGAAAATAAAAGTATCAAATGCATCGAAAAAAGTGAATGCATTGTTAGCCGCTGCCACTCAATTAAGGAGCAGCGTAAATGAAATGTATTTCCCGTGCATAAAAAAGTATTAATGCTGAGCGGTGTGGAATTCAAGTGCGATGGAATTGAAGGTAAGCGAATATGGTGAAAATGGGAGTTTGCTTCATGATGGGCTTGGCTGAACACAAGATTGCATTTTTTTTTCTTTAAAAATGACCTTGATACATGAACGTAATAAGTACTTTGCGTGGTTCATGTTAAATGGCTGTCCTCTCATTATAACTTGATTTCGTTTTCTTCTCAAACGGAGAGAGGCCAATGCATGGGAAAATCATGGAGCGAAACTGCAATCGGAATCAATTAGTAAACATGAAAAAAAAAATTGTAATTGCACCAGACGAGCAAAGTGCTGAACTTTGTTCAATTATTTAAATGTCTTCGTTATTATGCATTTATTCGGTTGGGCCTTTTAAATTGCAATGAGGCCTACCTCCTTTCCCAATACACAGACGCGTCCACGGCATATAGTCTGTAGAATGAGGCAGCTCTGAATTTGCACAGCTTTTTGTTGGACTGTCGCCACTACAATAACTGGTCATTGCTTTCCATTTGAATTATTTGCGGGGCGATATTAAGCTCACAGGGTATTTTTGCGTCGCCAAAGGACCTCTTCCTATAAATCTAGATGAATTTGTAATTCAAATAAAATGTAAATTCATAACCGCATTGTGGTTAAATTATTGGGCAAACGAGCGAAATGACATGTACCCCGAATGGTTGATATGTCAGTACTATAAAAAAAACTGGATGGACACCACTATAATATAGAAAAAGATTACCCTTACAAACTTTATGTATTTATTTGAACTAAAAAATCGTCGACTTTCATCACCGTATTTGGTTTTTGCTTGCTGTTTCCATTTTCCAGCAAATTATTCCTGAGTTATAGCGCAGTTTCAGAAGTTGTGTCTCCTTTTGTGCATAACGCACGTACCTTTGTCAGGTTGAATGAGAAGGGAAAAAATAGTGAGTATTAAATCGAATTATTGCATGGATTTCAAAAAGAATCATCAACGCAAAGCTTGACATTGGACACATAAAACAAAAAAAAGTAAAAGGAATCGAATAAAGCAAAAGTCGTCAATCCAGAGGTACCGGTACACACCACTTTGCGTAAAGGCTTTGCTTTTCGTTTCGGCTGCACCGTTGCTCGCAATATAATTATATGTAATCCGGTCGTGTTATTCTCCATTAAACTTTATAATCTCATTTAAATTTCATTAGTTGCCACCATTCAATGAATGTGTAATGGAATGTGTTGCTGTACTGTGTTGTGTTGTGTTGTGTTGTGTTGCCAACATCGATGCATGCAATTACTCTGTGTCGGAAAAATCAATTGTGCGGATTTTTCTACGGTTATGAAATGAAGAGTTAGATGGGCATACATGCATACGATATCGAATCGAATAAATCATTGAAAGAGGTTTCAATTCCTTTAAATTATGATGCGATGACTGTAATCTATTTGAAGTGGTTTGCACCGTTTCATTTATTATCGATTAGTTTGTGTGGTCGCTTTACGATTTACGTGATAAGAGTGACACATTTGGTCCTAAGCTTTTCGTCATACATATACGTATAAAACGATGCGATTTACCGATTTGAAAAGTTATTGTTTCGACATTTGCCGAAGGAAATTATAAGCGTACGTATATGGGTCACTATTTACATCCAACGATAATATTTACAATTTCACATCGAACACAGTGTACACTGTACAATCGATTGAAGTTAAACTGACACGGGGTAAGGTTGCAACAACCGTTAGAAAATAATTGAATTTACAAACGATTCGAGAGGTGCTTGTTGCGTGCGTCGACGGAAAAAAAATGTGTTCTAGAACAGTGTATTTTTATTGACACATCATTGGTAGATGTAACTCTTAATCAGTGGAATTTATGGCACATTGATTTGTCATTCCGTTCCATACCGTGGAAAATCGATCATCATGCAAATGAACAAACAATTGAAAGTTTATTCGACGTTCTTGATTTAGTCAATGAGGAAGCCAAATCCGATTTACTTAAACCAACACACACACACACGCACACACACACTTCTCTGGTATCACCGCCGCAATCAAAATTGTAAACAATGGCACACGAGTGTCAGGCACGCGATGAGTTTAAATTTCACTTTCATTCGAAACAGATTTAATTTATTTAAATTATAATAGAAGTTTCACGGATACATTGTACAATGTACATACTTAGTAGTGAAGCCGTGTGATACTCTTCCTCTCTCTCCACTCAACGTCCCGCTTTGTTTCTGGATTTTCATCGTCGGAACGGACGAGTACAATAATAATTATTTTATTTGATTATGTCAAATAAATTAATGTAAGCGTACGTTGCTCGTCGCACATAGCCTGGATATAAGTGGAATCGCGCGCACCGTGAAACGAGCAAAACATGAATATTTACTTGGCTGCTATAATATGTATGCAAACAAAATGTTGCAGTATGCACTATGACGGCGGGTCGATCTTTTTGTCTCAATGTCGAAGAGAAGCGCACTCGCACAATTGTGACGTGCTAGTGCCATAGAATGCGCGGATTTGAGCAATAGAACCGCAGTGTTTGTATGTTGTTATATTGTTGTTGAATGGCGTTCGCTTTAAACACCCCAAATTTGATTTTTGTTTGCAATTGTCGCATTATAATATAACAGCACACTGGGGGCAAAAGTGATTTAAAATCTTTTGACTTATCATGCTGAACAAACAGAGAGGCCGAATGGTTTGGTCGGTCGGTTGTTCGCTTTGCAAACAATTTTACAATCATATCGCTGTAATAGGTGGTCCGAGTTGCTCTTGTTTACGACACACGCACACACCCATTCATAATTCCAGACATGAGAGAGACCACTTTTCCCCGCGCATTTCTAACGCTTTAAACGTTGTAACCTTCAAAATAACACTCCCAAAAATTGCACTTCGGCCCAGACCCAGAAAGAAAAAAACATATTATGCCAAACATCTGCTTGAAAAGATCAAATTTCGAAATCCATGTTTACACATGCTTCGCATGACATTTTCAGCTAAATGATTCACTGAGCTATTATTCCGTCTCATGCCCATAAAATATATCAAGCACACACTGATTGCAATGATGCGCTGCAGACAAATTATCCAAATTGGTATCATTTTTTTGCTTTTACTTTCGGATTCTACTCTCTTTCTCTCTCTCTCTCTCTCTCTCTCTCTCTCTCTCTCTCTATCTCTATCTCTATCTCTATCTCTATCTCTCTGTATGTGTGTCTCTCTTTTTTTTCTTTTCATCGATAGTTGTGATCTCTATTTGAGGAAATCTCGGCTAGCTCTTTTTGCGACGGCAAACAATATATGTCATATGACAACCGCTCAGGATTTCGGGCCGTAATATTTGCACACATTCTAAATAAGTCATTGTGCATCATAATAATATGTTAAGTGGAGCATAAACTCGTTACACGAGCTGCAGAGAAACACAACTGCCGCTACTTCTATTTAATTGGAATGAAAAAAAGAATTCACTGCATAAAATTGTTCAAAAGGATAAAGTTCAGTCTTGCTCAGGATTCCTTAGACCAATACGAACTATAGTGACATTTTGGTTCGAAATAATTTGGTTGTTGCACTTCTTTTTCGCTTGGGTCAGTATACCTTTCATCATATTGCACCATTGCCGCCTACACAGTATCATGAACAGTACCATCGTAATGACAAAATAATAATTAATTGGTTTATACAGAAGTTGTGTAAAATCATGAAATCGAAAATATTTTGAAGTTTTGACATTTCTTCAATAAAAGGTTCAAGCATTCAAATTTTCATTTGATATGAGTTTACAGCACTATCATTACCGGGTGCATTACTTTGTTGGGCTAATATCATGGCAAAAAAGTTAACAAACGCATTCGATGACGTTGTGTGTATGTACTTATGTTTTTGTTTGGACAGTGTTCTCTAACTTTTGACTAACTTCGTTTCATTGGCATTTTATGCACGTGTGTATTGTCGGTGTGTTATGCATGCAATGCGGATTATGACTCCAGTCATAAATAAATTTTGTGAAATATATTTTGTGTTGTTTCTGTTTGCTTTGGTATTTTGTTATTTTTGGCTGGTTATATATTCTTGCTTCATGTTCCAACCGTGTGCAAGTCATTATTATTATTACTATTTGCTATTTTTCCTATTGCTCTTTCTCTGTTTCTCTCTCACTCTCTCTAGCTCACTCTCTTCGTATGTGCATTTTGTGTGCTGTGTTTGTGATGGTCGTGTGTTTGTGTATTTTTTTCACTTTTTATTTATTTGTTTGTTGTTTCGCTTGTGTATTTGTTCTTCATCAAGCGATAGTGAAAATGGAAATGCATTGTGTCCCA